TAGGGCTAAGCGGAGACCGCTGTGGTGGACTGTATCAAGGTGAGCAAGAAGAGAGGTTGAGGCAGAGGAGTAGATATGGCATCCATAATCTAGAGTAGAGAGAATCAAAGTAACATGAAGATGGAGGAGAGTTTTGCGATCTGAGCCCCAGGAGATATGTGAAAGCGTTTGTAAGATTCGGAGGCGACGTTGAGCTTTTTCTTTGATATACAAGATATGGTCTCGCCAGGACAATTTGGAATCAAATATAACGCCTAGGAATTTGCCAGAAGACCGGTATTGGAGTGGAGCATCATATAAGAAGAGTGGGGGTTTGGGGACCGTACGTAAGCGAGAGAAAAGGATGGGGAAAGATTTAGAGGTAGAGAAGCGAAAGCCATGGTTGGTGGCCCAAGAAGTTACTGATGTTATTGCAGACTGAAGGAATTGACAGAGATCTGGTATGGATGTGCCAGATGTATAGATGGTTAAGTCATCAACATATAGTGATGCTCTGGCTCCTGGTGGTAGGACTGAGACTGTCATTTACAGCAAGAAGGAATAAAGTGGTACTAAGCACACTTCCTTGTGGGACGCCTTCGAATTGAGGAAAGGATGATGAAGTGGAAGAGGCAATCTTGACCTGGAAAGTACGTTTAGAAAGGAAGGATTTAATGAAAACACCCATGTTTCCACGTAAACCTAGGGAGGACAATTGTTGGAGGATATGGTATCGCCATGTGGTGTCATGCTTTTTCTAGATCAAAGAAAATGGCTAATACGGATTCATGGCGTGCAAATGCCGATGTAATGTATGTCTCAAAATGGGCAAGTGGGTCTGCTGTACTTCGGGCACGTCGGAAACCAAACTGGGAAGGGGAAAGGAGATTATGAGATTCTAGGTACCACATTAAACGGAAGTTAACCATTCGTTCTAGTAGTTTGCACAAGCAGCTAGTTAGAGCTATGGGGCGGTAATCTTGGGGTAGGGTACCTGATTTATTGGGTTTTAAGAAAGGTAGGATGAGAGCATCTCGCCAATGAGAAGGAAAATTTCCTGACGTCCATATGTGGTTGAAAATAGTTAAAAGGAAGGATAGAGAGGAAGATGGGAGGTGTCGGAGCATACGATAGTGAATACCATCAGGGCCTTCATGAGTGTTGCGGCTCGACTGTAATGCAGCGTTGAGTTCAGAAGAAGAAAAAGGAGCATTATAGGACTCATCAGAGGATAGGGTGAAGGTAATAGGGGTGCGTTCCTTGATGGTTTTAATGGAAGAAAAGTGTGGGGAAAGGTGAGAGCCACTACTGACCTGGCTGAAATAGTTGCCCAGTTCATTAGCTACTTCTACAGGCTCAGAGATGAGAATATCTCGAATATGGAGGACGGGTGCAGATGAAGTAGGAGAAAGGAGTATTGGGAAGTGGTCACTATAGGGGAAGTGGTCTAGAACTGACCAATGGAAATCTAGATGTAAAGTAGGAGAGCATAGAGAGAGGTCAAGGCATGAAAAGGATTGTGTGCGCATGTCAAAGTGTGTGGGGCGATCTGAATTAAGAATAATTAGGTTATTTGTGAAGAGGAAGCGTTCTAGAGATCGGCCTCGGGAGTTGGTGGTTGAGTCACCCCACAGAGTGTGGCGGCAGTTGAAATCACCAACTATGAGGAAAGGTGGTTGGAGTTGGGAAATTTGAGTCTCAAAGGCAGTAAAGTCAATGGGATGGGATGGGGAGAAGTAGACTGAAATCACTGTGATCCAGCGGCGAAGAAAGATGCGAATAGCTGTGCACGGGACAGAAGTTTGTATGGGAGGTATGACATAAGGTGTTTTATGATGGATAAGTATAGACGAGACATAAAGGGAGTGTGGGGAAGAGATAAAATGGTAATTAGGAATTGGAATAGGAGGGTGTGTGAGGAAAGTCTCTTGGAGGCAGATAATAGATGGATTATAAGAAGCAAGGATATGACGTAGGTCTGATCTATGAGAGCGGAAACCGCGAATATTCCAATGTAGGAGAGCTATATCCTAGTTGATTTATGAATGATAACACATTTACGTGTTGGGGAATTTGAAGGGGAAGGAGCTAAGGGGTGTAAAGGAGGGATATTAGGAGGTAGGGAGTCTGGAGAAGGGCATTGTTGTGCCATGAGTGATTCTCGTGTGTATCCTGGAGGGAGTGCAAAGGATAGAGGGGATGGAGGGAGGGAGAATGTGCCTATAGTTGGGGTTGAAGGGGTGGGTTGTGTTGGGAGGGAGTAGATGTGTGGGGAGTATTAGTGTTAGGAGGATGAATATCAGAAGGATGGATAGTTGGAGTTGAAGGGGATGTGTTGTCTTGGGAGGATTAGGAGGAAAGGGTGTAGGGGTGCTGTGAGTAAGAGGGGGATGCATATCAGTAAGATGGGTACTGGGAGGATGGATATCAGTGGTGGTTGGGATTGAGGGGGTTAGGTTGTGTTGGGAGGGAGTAGGAGGAAGGGGTGTAGGGGAATATTAGTAGGAGGGGTATGAATATCGGCAACCACTTCAAGTGTGGAAGGAGCATGAGTTATGGGATTTTTGTGTCTCAAGCATATAGCTGTGAATGTCATCCATTGTTTCTGCAGTGGAGTTTGTTGGAGAGTTTTGTGAGAAGGTAATTGTTTCTGCAATGGAATTGGTTGGAGAGTTTTGTGGAATAAAGGTTTTCTTATGAGGGGGGGAAGAGGAGACTGGTGTCTCAGGAACAAAGGTATAGGTAGGTGGAGGTGATTGTGCTGTAGGGGAAGAAGGGTTAGAACGTTTAGTCTGTCTACTGCGTAGTGGGGAGGGGAGTGTTGGTGTTGGGGCTGTAGTTGAGATAGGAGCTGTGGTTGAGATTGGGGTGTCTGGGTTTAGAGTGGCAAAGGAATTGGTCTGAGGGATGTAGAATGTAGAAGTGGAAATGGGGACATTTTTGGGTGGAGGGGGAAGGGCTGAGCGAACGATGTTGCTAGAATATGGAGTATGAGAGAAACCTTGTCGACGTGCTTCCTGTCTGGCTTCACATAAAGTGAGACCATTTTTGTATCTGAGAGTTGCTACCTCAGATTCAAATTTGTAAGTGGGACAGCCTCTATAAAATACATTATGGGGGCCGCCGCAGTTAGCACATGTTCGTGTTTGTGCTGAGCAGTTTGATCGATTATGACCAGGTTGGGCACATATGGGGCATCGGTCTGTGGAACGGCAATGTTTGGCAGGATGTCCAAAGCGCCAACAGTTTTGACATTGACGTGGAGGGGGTTGGTATGGTCGAACAGGGAGGGATTGTCCACCAATGTAGATACGTAAGGGAAGGTCATGTGTATAGAAGGTAATTTTGGCAATATTGGTCGGATTCTTTCGTTGACCTTTAGGAGGAATGGTGTAGCAATGTACTGATTTCACATCTTGGTCTTTGAGGCATCCTAATAAGTCTTCTCCACAGTCTGACCAATCTTTGGTATCGACTGGGCAGTTTGCTGGGGAGAGAGAGACAGTTCCGGTACAGGTATTAAGGGTTGGATGAGGTTCTGCAGGAATGGGGTTGCCAAAATGATCAGTTAAATTTGACAGTGCTATAGATTCAGTTTCTGATCTGACTGTTACCAGACGGGAGCGATCGCGTCTGGTATAGAAAGGGACTCTACCTACTTGTTTTTGGAGGCATTGTTGATAGAGGAGAGCGTTGCCTGAGTATGGAGCTGTAGCAGGGATCACGAAAAATCGGTCCCATTTAGCTGGGCTAAACAGAGTATTTAAGATATCTGTAGGGTTGGTGGTGGTGGATAGTCGGGGACGTGTGGAAGAGGGAGTATTACGGAATGATGGAGAATAAGGTTGCAGGGTAGTAATAAGGGAGGATTGGTTGTTTGATGAAGGTTGCAGGGGTGGAGTTGAATTTGAGGAAGTTGGGTGGGTAGGAATGTCTTCTGGAGATTGATTCTCTGGTTGGGTGGGTAATGCACTAGTAGGCATTGAGGAGTGGGCAGTAGTTTCAGTGTTCGGAGCCGTGGTCAAAGGAGAGCCTGGGTTGGGGCTATTTGATAAAGGGGCTAGCCTCATAGCCTCTAATAAAGGGATTACATTTTCATTACTGGTCATGGGGAACCTGGATTATGTAAATAGGCCTATTCGGTCCACCTCCTTTCGCTACTGAAGGTAAGGGCTAGATTAGTCAGGAGTACCGTGCCCATAGTACCCGCAGGCCGTTCAGGACTGGCACTAGGTCAGCCTTTCATCCTCTCAGCACGGCTCTCACACCTTAGGAAGTAGATAGCAGAAGGGGATGGAGAAGAGACGGAAACAAAAGCTGGAGAGAAAAAAGACCATGCAAAATTAGTTGAGTCGAGGGCTGAGGCCCTAGGCAGGGGAGATCCCTGTACTGGGTCTCAGTCTTCGTCTCCTAAGCCCCCCCACGACAACAACGGGCAAGGGATTGGGGGGGTGGTCAAAGGTAAGACTGCAGTCAGGGAACTGGGAGAGTATGAAATGATGGGCCAATTTGATGAAGGAGCAAGCCTCATTGCCCCTAACAATGGTATTATGCCTTCATTATTGGCTATGGTAAGCCTAGACTATGTTGGGGAAAGAAACAGTCCACCCCTCAGGGTCCCCCTGAGGGGTAATGGCTAGGCAACTAAAATGGGAATACTGTGCCCATGGCTCCGTCAGGCTGTTCAGGACTGGCACAAAGTCATCCTTTCATCCTTTCAGCACAGCTCTGATACCTTAGGAAGTGGAGAGTAGACAACAACAGACAAGGGACTGGGGGAGATTGGGGGGGGGGGGAAGGGATTGGAAGAAAAGGAAATGGAAGGGGTAAGAAGAAACGACTGTGCTAAATTAATTGTGTAGAGGGCTGAGGCCCAATGTAGGGGGTGATCCCCAGCATTAGGCCCCAGTCTCTATTTCCTAAGCCCCACAATGACAGCAATTGGCATGTGATGGGGGGGTGGGGGTGGGGTGATGGGTACAGCTCAGGCATATGTGGGAGAATGAGCATTCTTCTGCATATTATGACTTTATTTATTTTCAACATCAAAAAAACAACCTACTTCACAGCTCAAAATGAGGCAGCTCATCAGTCATTTAAAAATATACTGTATTCAGAACAAAACTACTGCTTTACAATGCAATAATGCACAGTTATATGAGGAATACTATAACTATATAAATCTTTACAAATCCTATATCCAGTGTAGTCCTGTTTGGGATAAATAATTGAAAAACCAGGTAAAGCTAGCCTTTGCAACTCTGAACTGAACAAATTCTTATGTTTTTTTGAAACACTGCTGTAGACTTTTTCTTCTAGATTGGAATTATCACTCATAGAAGTTTCTATACAGAATGGAATGGTTATTTTTCATCCATAATTGTTTACATGGTCATTTGTCTGAAAGAGCACATGTAATAGAATTAAATAATGTTAAACAGGTTAATATTCATCAACCATTAAAGCAAGTCTTGAAACAGTAGTGCTCAACTATTTTTAATGTTTGCTGAGAGGACTGAAAATCCACAATACAATTCCATCTTCATAATGATTCATTTTCAGTTAACCATATAGGGATATGACAGCAGCAGACACATTTGCAGTGTTCCTTGCAAATTAAGTTTCGTAATGGTATTGTAACATGAAGAGATTTCAGAAGCGAGTGATACAGTTTTTGGTTTTATTTTGCTGGTAAATTCAGTTATTATATGGTGTTCACATTACGCATATTTGTTACAGAAAAATGTGTGGATTGATTAAAATATAAAATAAGAACAAAACAAAAAATAAAAACATACAAATATAATTAACCCACTTGCTATTTGCTTAATAACTACTGCATACATTTTATTTCACCCCCCCAAAAAAAAGTAATAAATATACATATATTCACATCCATTCTATAATACTCTGATAACAATAGTTGACTTACAATAGTCTAATCACATCTGTGCACATGACACATTAGAGGCCAATTGATTTGCATGTTCCTCCTGCAATGCTGTCCTGATCCGGTCCAGTTCACTGATCAAGCTACGTACCTCACTCAGTTTTTCTTGAAGGTTGTCAGCAGTGAGCATTCCCCCTTGCTCTGCTATTTCAGGATCTGACAAATTAAAATAAGGCACATAATATAGTACAATAAGGGAAAGGTAAACTCAAACTCAACTCAACGAGATAGCATAATTACATGATAAATAATAAATAAAGAAATCATTTTTCAAAAGCATTCAAAGGTTTTACAGTAACCAGAAATATATATATGAAACTGAACATGAGGGAGAATTTCTAAGAAACAGAAGGTGGATCATCTTTTCACTCAACATTCTTTTCTGACATATCAACAAATGAGCTAACTCACCAAATAAATAAAAAAAATTTCAGGGAGCTAGAAGTATAATCCAGTGGGAATTTAAAGTTATTTATCATCAAATAACATCCAATAAGAGGTGTGGCGCTACCCACTATACAAATTAAGAAAATAAGGATAATGTACAAGAATACAAATACCAATATACTTAATAGTAACTGACCTTTGAAGTTCAGTAACACTGTAAGGTCTGGGAGACTCCCTTGGCTAATTTGCTGGGAGACAGTCACCAGATCCCTTAACTAGTGAAAAGAAAAATAGAATATAAATCCACCATCAGTTAGGTATAATTATATTTTGTGTTCTTAAACATAATTAACACCTTTCATTTTCATTCTAAGAATGTCAGACATGTTATTTACTTTTTTAAATGAAATTACATATTACAAAATTACATTAGAGACATGAAACTAAGGTTAATTCTAGGCATTTTGAGAGATCCATTTACAGTTCACTTCCAAACAAGAGCATGAAAACACCTGCACTTGCATGATAATATGTACAAATGACATTTCCATACCTGGAGCACAGCACTATTCAAATGGGCTATGAGGGAAACGACCATAGAAGATGTCTGATGCTGAGACCTGATTTGGCTTAAGGTGACCTCTAAACGTTCTTCTGTTCTTATTTGTTTTTCTGTTGCCTTAGTTAGGCTGTTTTTAGTCTAAGAGAAAATATAGTATAAGAAGATGGATATAAGAAAAGCTAAGAACCATATCCAAAAGACTTCACAAACTTCACAGATTGCAATATCACCTTCTCCTTGTGCATAAAATTAAATTTAAATATACCTTTTCTTCTCTCTGCTTACAGTCTTCAAGTTCCTTCTCCAACTCCCAAACTTGCTCCTTGAGCTTCTCTCCAAGCTCAACCTCTGCCTGCAAATTTGCATTGTGTTTTTTTTCTTGCATTAGAATTTCCTTCTGTTGAGACTCTAGCTTCTGCTTCCTGTAGTTTAGTAACTGTAAAAAAATTGTCAAATAAAAATTCAGGTGTTATAATTTTACAGACAGTAAAATTGAATTCACTGCCTTGAGGAAGTGAACTGACAACATTATATAATTTTGAAGTTATGAATGAATCGTAAGCTATCAATACTACAAATTTAGAGCAATGTTCCCATGATAATGTATGATTATATTCTAATCCACTGTCTTTAGTAACTTTTCATATAACTAGGTACAAAAACATGAATATATACTGCTAACATATAATTTAACAGAATGAAATGTGTGAATAAATTCTGACACATCAATCATTGATTATCACAAAAAGTATCATTAAACATTTCCATCACTCAAGAACATATGTGAAGAATGGCAGAATGAACATGATACTTAAGAGTTCAAAAAGGATATGAATAACAATTTTGTATTATATGAACTTTCTTTCACTGGTTTTGTTAATAACATACTACAAAACATTCATATTCAATTGTATCATATAATTCTTAGACAATCAGGCAAAGGAAGCTAAAAACACAAAATCATGTAGTTAAGTATCACACAACTGTACAGAAAATGAATGTTATAATGCAAACCTTCTTGGCACTATCCAGCTCTTTTGTCACCTGATCCAGTCGCCACAATAAATCCTCCTTGCTGTGTTGACCCTCCTCATGTGCAGCTGCTTTTTGACTCTCCAGGTCCTAAAGAGACATACAGAGCTATGCCTTAATGAACTTACAGCAGTCATATCACTGAACTGTGTATTGCAATGACACCAATTTCAAT